GAGGGGACCTAATATATACTTACAAATATCTGAAGGGTGGGTGTCAGGAGGATGGGGCCAAGCTCTTTTCAGTAGTGCCCAGCGACAGGACAAGGGGCAATGGGCACAAACTGAAGCACAGGAAGTTCCGTCTGAACATGAGGAAGAACTTCTTCCCTCTGAGAGTGACGGAGCACTGGAACAGGCTGCCCAGGGAGGTTGTGGAGTCTCCTTCTCTGGAGATATTCAAGACCCGCCTGGACAAGGTCCTCTATAACCTACTGTAGGTGACCCTGCTTCTGCAGGGGGGTTGGACTAGATGACCCACAGAGGTCCCTTCCAACCCCTACCATTCTGTGATTCTGTGATCAGCCAAATGCCTGTATCATGGTAGATGAGATGATAGCACTATGAAGCTTTACTAAACAAGTATAGAATATTTGATCATGTGCATATAAGTACATGAAATCCACTTCCTTTCTGGAAAAGAAATCACTTGTGCTTGATTCTTGGCCTTTCCTATGGTCAGTTCCTACCAGATACTTCTAGATAACATGTGCTGATGAAATGTTGAGAATGACTGATGCATATAGTCCTATCACAGCTTGTTGATGTGGACTGTTACTACGGACGCTCACTGTTAATTAACTTCTGGTGTATTGAAGTTTATTCTGCTACTAATCAATAAATGATTCAAACTCTGTAGAGTTTATTGTATTTTCATGGCTAGCAATTTGTATGATTTCAGAGCCGTTGAACAAATGTGAAATACCACTACTAATTATAATACTTCAAATCAAGGAAAACCTTTTCTACCATGTGACAGAAGCACAGGCTGAGGGTAATTCATTTTTGTATTTACATTTTTTTAGCTTTTTCTGAGGTGCTTCAGATTAGATTAAGATTCTGGATAGGGTGTGCTCTCTTTGGAATCTCCAGCTACTGATAATGTGATTCCAGGTCACAGCACATTTCAGAAATTGCACAGGAAACAAACAGTCTCTTACCTCTTGAGGATGAACATTTTCTAGAATGTTGCCACAAAGTGAATTCACTTTTATTTCATTAAACTGTGTAGTATAAGAGAAAAATCCAGCCTTATAAATTGAGGAACATTCAGGGTAGAGAAATAAGAGTTTTCTTGTGTCTGTCTTCATTACCCGTAAAATTATCCTCTGAGCAGCTTTTGTTTGTGCCACTTTTTGGGAAAGGTTGTCCAGATTATTAAAGCAGGGAGCTCAGTAAGATGAGCAAATAATTCCTGTAGCAGAAGAAAAATCTAGTGGCATAAGGCTGAAAGACGTGACTAAGCTGATTGCTGCCTCTTCTGTTAGTCATGCTTTCCCCGGCACTAGCATAAGAGGAGAGGAGGAAACCTCCCATAAGTCCCTCTGCATCTCTCCTCCACTGGGACAGAGCTACTGCGCATGGATGTGAGCTGGGGTGTCTGCTCAGATCCCACAGAACATCGATGCAGAAGCACTGGCAGAATTTGGAAAGCTTCTTGGCAAAACTGGCTCTTTGCTTTAACAACTAAAGGTGGCAATTTTCAATTAAAAATCTTTTAATAGACTTTATTTACATATTTTCATTACCTGCTTTGTCATCAAAGAAATGCACTCTTTCATTCAATGACTTTGCTACTTTTTTGTTTGTTCTGTTCCTAATGAGCTTTTCTGATCTCCTGGGTAAACGTAGTTTTCTCTCGTCTTTGAAGAGTGATGCACTGTCTTTTATAATGCTGATCTTGGAACTTTGATCCAAACTAGTGTGCTGTACAAAAAGAAAATTAGAATGACTATGTACAAATTGTGTTGGAATTTGCAGAAATTAGAACATCATTGTACAATTAAATTTCCATTTTGCCATTTTTTATGTGAACAGTCACAAATTACTTGAAAATAGGCTAGATTTTTCTGTTTAATTGTTGAGATCCTCTATTAGAAAAGAACAATGGCTTTAAATGCTGCAAGACAGAAAGTATAAGAATATTTCAAACCTTTGATCATCATGTCATGGGGATAGGTTGCCTCAATGAGTGGACTGTACACATTTCTAAGTGTGATCTAAAAGAATATCCTTAATAATTGAATCTGGAAATTCTCTTATAACGCAAATCTTTCTTATACTTTCATTTAATTTTTTTTTAATAATATAAAAATGGCAATGATTCATAATGCCAAAACATAAGAATTAGCTGATAAAAGCAAATGAATGAGAACAATTACATTTTCTCTCTAAGTGAAAGTATTTCTGCTTTCCAAAGATGAATCTGTCACATAGAAATTAATAGAGAGCTATTGAGAAAGAACTGTGCTAAAAATGAACAGAAAGAAAAAAGAATGAAAAAAAATTATACTAAAAAAATCTGTCTTACATCAAAAGCCAAACATTTGTAATGTGACACCAGCAATCACCCTGTTCTGATATACAGGAAATTATAGATGTCAAAAAACTAAGGCCACGGATTCTTTTGTACAAAATCTGAGAGATTTTGTAGTACTTTATTTACAATGTGTTTTTCATAACAATCTATTTCCAACTAATAAGAACTCTTAATCTTGGGCTAATTGGGCTCGGTAACAACTCTCACACTTAAGTCACAGAATCACAGAATCACAGAATGGTAGGGGTTGGAAGGGACCTATGTGGGTCATCTAGTCCAACCCCCCTGCCGCAGCAGGGTCACCTACAGCAAGCTGCACAGGACCTTGTCCAGGCGGGGCTTGAATATCTCCAGAGAAGGAGACTCCA